GTGCTGGCCTGCGCGGGTGCGCCCACAGTGGTGCCCCCTCTTGTGCCGCTGGCCCTGTTGCTTAGCTCTTCGCTCTTCGCACGGTCAACCGTGCGCCTAGACATTTTGGCTTGCCATCCTGGTCTCTTCTCGCGCCTACTTGCGCTCTTTGGCCTCGATGGCGGTGCTGGGGTCGCCCCGTGTGCTGCCATCCTGGCCTCTTCTCGCGCCTACTTGCGCTCTTTGGCCTCGATGGCGGTGCTGGGGTCGCCCCGTGTGCTGCTGTGCCGCCGCTGTCGCTTTACTTTGGGCCGTGGGGGCCAGTGGCCCCACGGACAAGCGCCTGCCGCTGCATGCACGTTAGACCCGCCATTTCACCCAGAAGAGGTGCTCGCTATATACTGGGAATGAGGCAGCCACAAGGACGCTCATCCCAAGGCGGTTGAGCCGTGGTGATGTGGTGCACGAGTCCGCCAGTAGTAGTAGTAGTAGTAGTAGTAGTAGTAGTAGTAGTAGTAGTAGTAGTGGTAGTTGTTAAATTTGTAGTAGAAGGAGCAGTAGTAGTCGTAGTAGTAGAAGTAGCAGCAGCAGCAGCAGCAGTAGTCGTAGTAGTAGTAGTAGTAGTAGTAGTAGTAGTAGCAGTCGTGGTAGTAGTAGTAGTAGTAGTAGTAGTAGTAGTAGTAGTAGTAGTAGTAGTAGTGGTAGTAGTAGTCGTAGTAGTAGAAGTAGTGGTGGTGGTAGTAGTAGTGGTAGTAGTAGTGGTAGTAGTAGTAGTAGTAGTAGTAGTAGTAGTAGTATTAGTAGTAGTCGTAGTAGCAGTTAGTAGTAGTAGTAGTAGTAGTAGTAGTAGTAGCAGTAGTAGTAGTAGTAGTAGTAGTAGTGGTAGTAGTAGTAGTAGAAGTAGTGATAGAAGTAGTAGTAGTAGTAGAAGAGTAGTAGTAGTAGTTAGTAGTAAGTAGTAGTAGTAGTAGTAGTAGTAGTAGGTGTGTAGTAGTAGTAGTAGTAGTAGTAGTAGTAGTAGTAGTGTAGTAGTAGTAGTAGTAGTAGTAGTAGTAGTAGTAGTGGTAGTAGTAGTATCAGTAGGAGTAGTAGTAGTAGTCTTTTTTCAGTAGTAGGAGTAGTAGTAGTAGTAGTAGTAGTAGTTAGAAGTACTAGTAGTAGTAGTATTATTATTATTATTTAAAGCTTTTCATTTTTGTTTTTTTTTTTTTCAGTAGTAGTAGTAGTAGTAGTAGTAGTAGTAGTAGTCGTCGAATTGGTCTTGGAGTAGTAGTAGTAGTGTGTCTTGGATAAAGTTGGTGTTGGATTGTATCAACATTGACCGTTTCGCGAACGTGCCTGATCTGAGCTTGGTGCCGAGGGGACCTGGAGCGTGACGGTGACAATGCAGTGTTTTTCTTCTCGTCAAATGTGTGTGTGTGTGTGTGTGTGTGTGTGTGTGTGTGTGTGTGTGTGTGTGTGTGTGTGTGTGTGTGCACGGCTTTTTTTTGATCTCCCAGGGTGCCCTTTTGTATGCAACCTCGGCTGGATCCGCTTCGGAATTTAGGTGGGAATCGCACTCCAGGTCTGGTCCGGGGGATAGAGCTTGAGAAGGGGGAGGGAGGCAGACGACCGAGGTTGGGTTTGTTCGCGGCTTCCCACGACTTCTAGAGACTCAAACCTTCCGATGCCATTTTCTATGTTTTATATTGATTAACCAGAAGCGACCTAATCCTGCGAGGGTGTGCTGCGATTGCCGTGGTAACCTGGCCCGACCACGTGCTCGCGCCAGCGGCTTGAGGGCAGCGGGGAAGCCCACTCTCCTCGACCTGGGATGGCCGGCGCCTGCTGGCCTAGACGCTGCGAAAAAATGTGCACCGGGCTCACCGACGACTATGCTGAGCCTGGCGCGCTGGCGCGCTGGGAATAGCAACCACCCACTGCACCATCGTAGCCGCCTGGACCGAAATACTGCCCGCCGACTGCACGCTGGAAATAGCTCCCACCCACCATGCGACCACTGCCATTTTGATGTAAGTCCTGCCCATCCACTGCACGCTGGGGATAGCATCAACCCACCATGGGACCTCTACCGTTTGGATGGAATACTGCCCACGCAGCCTCCTTGGAAATAGGGCCCACCCAAGTAAACAGGAACATGAGCATGAGGGTGGGGGGGGGCAACCCGTCCCGACAGGGACGAGGTCTGGACGCAACTGACGACCATGCGAGCTTATCGGGCCTACGCCCGTGCTGTCCTGAACCGACGCGCAGGGTAATTGATGCACCTGCGGGCTTAGCGAGCTTCCGCTCGTGCCGCCTTGAACGGGTGCAGGTGGCCAGTGACCATCATCTGGCAGTTGACGTACATGCTGAAGTGCGTCCTGCATCACGAGAGATCATCGTCCTCCTGGCGTTGGTACTGGCAGGGCGGGGATTTGCCCTTCTTCGCGCTCGCCTGACACTTGACCAGGTCACTCGTGCCCGTTGTACCCGCACGCTGAGGCTGTCCTTCTTGTGGCGGGCGCTCTCTACTCAACGCCGGTGCTCCCGAGATTGCCTTCATCTGCTCTACCTCCAATGCCTAGTCGATGGCCGCTACGTGTGCTGCATCAGCCTTGCCCGTCATCGGCACAGGCTCAGGCAGAGTGCTCGCCCGGGACGGGACTTCGTTCGACGTGGCGGAGCGGCTGGACCAACGATCAGCCCCGCTGGTGCCGTGGGCACAAGCGGCTGAGTCGGCGTAGTCGGGCGCAGCGACTCGATTGGTGCGATCTCCTCCGCTCCCTCATCTTTTATCGCCTCCCAGTCTCGGCCACGCGCAGAGGGGGGTAGGGGTAGGGGGGAAGGCTTCTTAGAAGCGCTCTTGCTTCTTAGAAGGCGCGGGCCTTGTCTCTAGATGTAAGGCCAGTGCCTTCTAAGAAGCAGCCTCCTTCTAAGAAGCCTTCCCCCCTCTTCCCCCTACCCCCTTGTGCGCGCCGCCAACACTCGTCCAACTTCGAGTCTCCCTTGGTCAGCTTCGGGGCCTTTTCCTTGCCCGGAATTGACTTCCCAGCGCCAGGCATTCTCGGGCCCCCTTCTTCTTGTCAAGACCTCCTCTGGATGGGCTTGGTCTCTGGGTCGGTGGAACTGCTAGCTACGGCACTCGAGATGGTTGGCGCTGCTGATGTGGCGGGAGACGTTCGGCCCGAGGTATAAGATCGAGGTCGGTTGTTAGGGGAGGGTACCCTAATGTTCTTCGTGTTTGTTGGACGCTCTTGTGCGTCCTGGGAGGTGGTACCCTCGAATGTTATTCAGTTTGGCCAGCGGAGGGTCTCATGGAGGAGGGGGAGGGGGAGAAGGAGGAGAAGGAGGAGGAGGAGGCGGAGGAGGAGGAGGAGGAGGAGGAGGAGGAGGAGATCTTGAAGGGTGTTCTTCTGTCCTGGGTCCGAACGTACTGGCAGGCGTCTGGAAAGGCGTGGCAACCGAGGCTGATAGCGTGCTGGGCGCTGGGTGGAGCGCCCGAGGCATCTGGATACTGAACGGCTCCAGGGCGGCACCATCGACGAGGAGGAGAATGAGGATGAGGAGGAGGAGGAAGAGGAGGAGGAGGAGGAGGAGGAGGAGGAAGAAGAGGAGGGAAAGGAGGAGGAGGAGGAGGAGGAGGAGGAGGAGGAGGAGGAGAGGAGGATGAAGGAGGAGGAGGAGAGGAGAGGAGGAGGAGGAGAGGAGGAGGAGGAGGGAGAGGAGGAGGAGGAAGAGGCGGAGGCGGAGGCGAGTAGGAGGAGAGGAGGAGGAGGGGAGGAAGGAGGAGGAGGAGGAGGAGGAGGACAGGAGGAGGAGGAAGAGGAAGAGGAGGAGGAGGGAGGAGGGAGGAGGGGAGGAGGAGGAGAGGAGGAGGAGGAGGAGGAGGAGGAGGAGGAGGAGGAGGAGGAGGAGGAGGAGTAGAGGAGGAGGAGGAGTAGGAGGAGGAGGAGGAGGAGGAGGAGGAGGAGAGGAGGAGGAGGAGGAGGAGGAGCCTCCTCCTCTCCTCGCTTCATTTCTCCTTGTGCTCGTCCTCCATCTCTTGCTCCTCGTCCTTATGCTTGCCTTCCTCTTTGTTGTCCTCCTGCTTCCCTCGCTGCCCTCCCCGTCATCCACGCTGTCATCCTCGTCATCCGCCGCCCTGTCATCGCCATCATCCTTCACTCCTTCCCCCCCTACGGGCCAAATGGACAACATCGGTGCTTCCCTTGCTTGACTGCAACCCTTTCCAGCCTCCTCCCACTCGCGCTTCTCCTGCTCTCCTCCCCTCCTCCCCCACTTTCCTCCCAGGGTGGATGGTTGTGGCCTGGGTGGTTTCTGTCCGCCGGGCAGAGCGGGATACAGAGACTGCCCTCCTTGCTTTGAGCTCCAAGCTCCACCTTTGCGGCCCCCCCGAAACGAGGGGGCCCCCAGACCGGGCTGCGCAGCTTGACGCTTCCTCCTGCTGAATCGATCCGATTCGTGTTCCTCCGAGGCGCCTGCGTGACAGAGGTGGGACGAGCAAGCGCACGGCAAACAACGCATGAGAAGCTTCACAGAAGGAGGAGGAGGAGAGAGAGGAGGAAGGAGAGGAGGAGGAGGAGGAGGAGGAGAGGAGGAGGCGGAGGATGCGGAGGAGGAGGAGGAGGAGGAGGAGGAGGGGAGGGGAGGCGGAGGAGGAGGGAGGAGGAGGAGGAGGAGGAGGAGGGCGGAGGAGGAGGAGGGGCGGAGGAGGGCGGAGGAGGGAGGAGGAGGAGGAGGAGGCGGAGAGAAGGGGAGGAGAGGGAGGAGGAGGAGGAGGATAGGAGGAGGAGTAAGGAGGAGGAGGAGTGAGGAGGGGGAGGGTGAGGGGGAGGGGGAGGGGGAGGAGGAGGAGGAGGAGGAGGAGGAGGAGGGGGGGAGGAGGAGGAGGAGGAGGAGGAGGAGGAGGAGAGGAGGAGGAGGAGCAGGAGGAGGCTGGGGAGGAGGAGGAGGAGGAGGAGGAGGAGGAGGAGGAGGAGGAGGAGGGGGAAGAGGAAGGGGAGGAGGATGGACGGGCGGCAGCATCACTGCTGGAGGTCGGTGCCCTGCTGCGGCCGTGGAGGTTGTCAAACACCTCGTGACTGCCCGTGGCTCCCGCTCCCCCCTCGTCCGGTACAGCACCCTGCATCGCAGGCCTAGAGGTTGACACCAACACCAATTTCGGCGGTGTGCCTCCACCGAGGGAAGAAGATCCCGATCTCGGTGATGGTGGTAATATTCTGGTTTCCAAGGGAGGCGAAATAGTACCACCAACACCGAGATCTAGGAGCATCTTCCCCATGTGGAGGCAACCCCCTGTGTTGGTGTTGGTGCCCATTTCTAGGCCCCCAACTGCGCTCCATGTGCGGCATGGCTGGCCGCCTCACGCTGGCGGCCCTGGCGGCGGCGCTGTCGGCCGAAAGCCTGTGGATGCCTTTGTCGGCGGTCGTCTTCAGGACCTCCTCGGAGAAAGACCACGACGACGACGCCGACGCCGACGCCGACGCCGACGACGATGACGATGACGACGACGACGACGACGACGACGACGACGACGACGACGACGACGACGACGACGACGACGAGGACGACGACGACGACGACGACGACGACGACGACGACGACGACGACGACGACGACGACGACGACGACGACGACGACGACGACGACGACGACGACGACGGCGACGACGACGACGACGACGACGACGACGACGACGACGACGACGACGGCGGCGGCGGCGGCGACGGCGGCGGCGGCGGCGGCGGCGGCGACGGCGACGACGACGACGACGGCTTTCGTTGGTTCCTGGAGGCTTTACTTGCCTCGGGATGCACTCCAGCAGCTGCGCCTCGCCGAGGGCTTTCTGGGGGTGCCTGGATAGTCCCGAACGGCCGTTGGGGACCCGAGTTATTACCCAAAAGCCTCGACATGATACACTGGCATCCTCGCTCGCGTGGTGAGAAGATTGCGACGGAAGCTGTTTGGTCGTTTTCGGTCCCTGGGGGCCCTCACGGGTCCCTCGGACCGTCAAAAAACGACCCAGGATGAAGAGCCAGTCCCCAGAGCGGGGTCCAGACCTTTGGGGAGACATTTTGTAAAAACGCGACGTCGAATGTCTGGGACTCTGTGTAGAAGGCGACACACCTCGGGGAAGAAAAGTGACATCAACATACATTTTCGGAGATCGGCGCGGATTTCTTGGATCGGCGCTGGACCCCCATGCCAGCGCCTCCAGCGCTTCTGTCGCCGCCTCTGGCACGCTCTGTGCGCTAGGGAGTGGGGGCCCAGCGCCTACCCGAGAATGCTGGGCGTACCTTCGAAAGTTTATGTTTGCGTTGATTTCTCGAACACCAATGCATCCTGCGCCTCGCTTCAGTACGGTCGCACCGAGGCATGAGATCGGGGTCGGTACGGGGAGGGTACCCTGAGGCTCTTCGCGCTTCCTAGACGTTCTTGTGCATCCTGCGGGAGGGCCCCCCCTCACCCTCGAAGGTTCTTCGGCCTGTGCCGGCGGAGGGTCTCACGTTCTTGAAGGATGTTCTGTAGAGGAGGAGGAGACGGAGGAGGAGGGGGAGGAGGAGGAGGAGGAGGAGGAGGAGGAGGAGGAGGAGGAGGAGGAGGAGGGGGAGGGGGAGGAGGATGAGGATGAGGATGAGGATGAGGGTGTCCCAGGTCCGACTGTAGAGGCGGTCGGTTTGTCGTGGGTTCTGGCCTCTGCAGCCTGACTTCGGGCCTCGGGGCCAGCAGAAGCGGGTCGAGAGGACCGGGGGGCCCGTGGGTTCTGGCCTCTGCAGCCTGACTTCGGGCCTCGGGGCCAGCAGAAGCGGGTCGAGAGGACCGGGGGGCCCACGCCTCCGACTGCAGAGGCGGTCGGTTGGTCGTGGGTTCTGGCCTCTGCGGCCTGATTTCGGGCCTCGGGGCCATCGGAAACGGGTCGAGGGGACCGGGGGGCCCACGCCTCGAACGAGGCGAAGCGCCAGATTCTCGGGTGCCGATGGCGATGCCCCTCCCTCGTTTGCCCTTTCTGGGCCTGCTGACCCCCCTCCCCCTCCTCCCCCGACTCCCCCTCCTCCTCCTCCTCCTCCTCCTCCTCCTCCTCCTCCTCCTCCTCCTCCTCCTCCTCCGTGGGCAGAATCGGAGGAGGACAGCTGCACAGGTCCGCCTCAGGCCTCCCCTACCCCGTGCCAGAAGGGGAGAAGACAGTCAGAGGAGGCGGGGGGGTCGAGGGGCAGGGAGGTGGACCTGTACGAGTGTTCGTTTCCAGCAGGACGCACCCCAGGAGAGGTTCGGGCAGTGCGGTTGGGAACTCTGCCTCAGCGTGCCGTGCCGCCGGTTTTGGCACACCGCGCTTCGGCGCGACACGCTGACCTCGTCCCAGTCCCCAAGCGTCATCGTCCCGAGCATTTCTCAGTCTCCGGCTCCGCGAAGCGGAGCCACACGCTATTCGCTTGCAAGGCGTAGTGTATCGCAGGGACCGCCGCCGCGACACGCTAAGCAAAAGTTCCCGAACGTAGCGGCATTGGTATTTTCTGTTCCCCCCAGCCCCCGTGGGCGGGACAACCACGGGCGCCACCCCTGCCTCGATGCAGAAAGAGGAGGAGGAGGCGGAGGAGGAGGAGGAGGAGGAGGAGGAGGAGAAGGAGGAGGAGGAGAAGAAGAAGAAGGAGGAGGAGGAGGAGGAGACAGAGGAGGAGGAGGAGGAAAAGGAGGAGGAGGAGGAGGAGGAGGAGGAGGAGGAGGAGGAGGACGAGGACGAGGACGAGGAGGAGCGATGAGGAGGATGAAGGGGGAGGCAGAGCTGCGGTTCCCTTCCACTACCTCTTGCCTCTATGGCCCGCGTGGCGCTTCCGCCAGTCTCTGTCTCGCTTGCTTCTACCTCATCATCTCCATGTTGGGCAAGAGTGCTTCGAGTGCTCCTGCTTTCCGTGTTCATGATCCTCGTGCCCGCTAAATCGGAAAAAGAAGCACACCAACCGTTATTGAGGACATCGCCGAGAAATTCCAGGAGCGCGGCGCCACCCCGCCGCTGCCTGCTTCTCTCCCAGGGCGTGCTCCAACTATGTTGGAGGCGCTGTCGGAACCACAAGCTTTGCCTTCGGGTGAAAATCTGGAACCACCATCGTGTATATCAGCAGCTTCAGCCACTGGCCCCGAGCTTCTCGCAACTATATTGCGGGGGCCCTGGGAAATGCAGGTCGATCGGAGTTTCAACAAGAGAGGGAATTCAGTGGACTGTTGGACAGCTAAGTTGCCATTTCTGCAATGGGCAGTGAAACAGGTCTGGGACTACCTGTCTGTTCTTACGGTGCCCGACGTATCGCCGCGCCCGCCGATTTCCTTGATTGAGACTGGCAGGGCGAGATCCCGATGCGCGCTCCTCTGGACTATCGCGCAGTCGGCGGCGCCCTTCGCAGTGACGACGCGACTCACGGGGGGCATGTCCGCAACAATGTTGCGGGATGTCCCGAGTGAGGCGAACGTGACGACGACGCGACGCGCGATGGGCTCGCTAATATGTTGTAGGATCGCCCGAGCGCGGTGGCAGCCATTGCGACGCGTCAGAAGACAATGCCCAAACCGCTGACGAAGGGGAGAACGTTCGGGCTAGGGTTTGTATGGCGATTTTGAGGCTTATGGTCAGATCATCACCGTCGATGGGCCGCCGGTCTCGATCGCCTCCTTGACATATGGAGGGGCCTCCATTCTGGATGGAAGGCCATCGGAGTGGGCGTGCTTGCCCTAGCCGGCTGCTTTGCCTTTGTGGACGCAGGTGGCAGCGACGGCAGCATGCCGCACCTCCGCGCCTATGGGCCCGAGCAGCAATCCCAGGTTCCCTTCCAACGCTGCGTGCGGGAGGTGATGATTGGGTCAGTGGTGGACTCGAACCTCAACGAGTTTCGCCGGTTGGCCTACGTCCGATCTTGTCTCGCCTGCGTGGCCCGGGAATGGGCGGGCGAGTGGCCGCCGGCTGTCCCTTTGCAGGGGGGTGCCATCTGGGGCAACCCAGTCCCACGCATGTCCTTCCTGATGCACAGTCTGACCGAACGTCGGGGCCAACTGGGCGGGGGGGGGGCGCGCCTCGGCAGTCTCAGCACCTATGAACTTCAATCGCCGACCGCAGGGCCGTATGGATGACCTCCCCGCGTGTTTTCGTCACTCTCCGCAACCGCGACCAGCAAGCTGGTTAACTCATGATCGCCTACGAGGGTATCAGTTTCCTCTTTCTGCGCGCGGTAAGGGCGCCGCGCGTGCAACTGGCGGCGCTGCGACGTGGTCTACCCGACCAACGCAGCACAACTCGCGCGTGTGACTGGTCAACTGCGACGCTTTGGGCGCATGGTCGAGGGATCGCCCGGCAATCTCGCCTCGGTGGTTCACTCGGCTCAACGCCAGACCTTCCTTCCAGGTGCGCCTGCGCAAGATCGTCTTCAGAGTCTATGTCGGAGGGTCCCAAAACCGTGCGGTGACGGACCGTGCGGTGAGGTTTTGGGGGGTGTCGAGGTCGCCGCACGGTGTGTCACCGCGCCGTTTCGGGACTCCAAACTCTGGCGCTGCAGCCAGATCGAGCCGGGGCGGCCTGGGTTTATCGGCGCTGGGGTGGTGCCGAGCCCGTGCCAGCAGCGCTGGCGCAGGAAGCATTCCCACCGGCTGCCGTCGACTCCGGCACTGACATCGACACCGTCAGTTCATTCGGCGAAGGGAAGATAGCCGCCGACGACCCCGAGCTGCGCGATGCTTCCGTTGAACAGCGCAGCGCGCGCGTTTTCGGCTTCCGAGCGCACCGAACCACGCGGGCGACGCTTCGACGACCGCGAGGCCGCGCGGCGCGTCCGGAGGGTCGTTGAGAGGAGGGGCAAGGGCCGCTGCAAGAGCCACCGAGCCTTCCTGGCCGACTTGTCCAAGAATGACCTCCGAGAGACATCTGTTGGCTTCGGGAAGGGCAGAGGTGAAGGGAAAAGGGGGGTTCAGGACAGGCGGCGCGAGTCCGGGCCGTCGAGGCAATCCGGCGGGCCCCGGCGGGGTGCGACTCACATGCCGCGAGTGTGATGGCTGAGGGGCGCCTCGTGCGCGATTGCCCGCTGCGCCGCGATCGAGGGCGCGCTCTCATCCTAGACGCCCGCGCCCCATCGCCGCCGGCGTCCGCGCAGCCGTCGAATCTGGGGCAGCAAGGGCAACCGAGCCCAGCTGAGCAGCCGCCCCTCACGAACGCGCATGCGGTTTGGATGGTCAGGAACATTGCCAACCACGGGGAGATTATGTCTGCGGGCTCGGGCGCGCGCGACCCGCTGCAGAGCGCTGGTCCCTGGGGCGGCGGACGTCCTGCGCCGGCGTCGGCAGCGCCGCGGCCAGCGGCGGCTGCGGCAGCCACTGTGCCAAGTTCGTCGTCCGACGATTCGTGGCGACAGGTTGGCCGCAGTCAGTGATCACGTTGGGCGGGTGGGGCATCTTCGCC